AACACTATGATGTATATATGCTTTCAATATTATTATAAAGTTAATATAGCCACCAAATTTGTTTGGTTATTAGTTGATAACAAAGCGTATGACTATTAACTCATCTCTCTGATATTGCCGGCCACCTTCTACCTAAGCCGGCCTTTAACTTAATTCTCTTAACATTTTCACCTTTTATTTCCCTTTCCAATTCATTTCTACCTCACTTGCTGGATGTGAGATTTTCATTAACTTGTCTTTTCTGCCACGTTTAAAATTTAAGATATTAAAACTCCATATATATATCCATGTATTTTACTCATTCAACCTAACCTTAATCATTAGCTCACACTATATTAAACAAATAAATATAATTCTAGTATAAGGAATTCAAATTATACACCAAGAATTTCAATAAACACCCGGGAAAAGATGGGAAAGATTAAAAGTTTTATTGCGTCATAGATTAATTAAATAGACATATAGTCGATCCGGTTAAAGTTATGTATTGATATAATATATCACTTAGCATCATGTATAATTAAGTTGTAAAAGAAAATACAAATATAAAACTTAAATGAACATATATTTTCATTTAGCTTAATTACATTTATTCCACTCATATTTTACATAAAAATGGCATGGTATAGTAGTAGATGCATGCAGAAGAAATGGCATGGTACATAAAGGTTAGATTTACATAAATACCTGGTAGCTGACAAACATGCTAGCTGCCATGCCAGCTCTTAATGTTAAGAATTAAAGTTTATGAGAAGCAAACAACTAACGGATGTTAAACTGTCTGTAGTGCTGACTGCTGAGTGAAACAAAGATATGTCATTCTATTCGATAGAAGCAAAGCAAATTTATCGGCAAACCCAAAGAGAAACAGAAATGGAATGGACCTCTCAAAGTTTGCCGTCGGATGCTTTAATATGTTTCAGTTGTCTTGTCTTCCCCATAATTCTCAAGTCACACGCATCCATTGCATTGAAATGCTTTCATTTTCACCGTCACCTTTTGTCTGTATTTCGTACCTGCCAACCCTTTTGTTCATACCATTCGCAGCTCAACTTTAAAATCCCTTAACACCAGCCATCAAAGAGGGCCAAACGTGGTTGCTGAAGTTCACTGCAATGGCGAGGCCTGACAGGTTAGATAGAAATAAAAGCCTAGAGACTCTGATGGACACGGACAAACCAGGAACTGGAAGAAATGTGAAGCAACTGAGGCCCCAGAAGTCGATTCCTGGATATGGCCTTGAATTCAATAACCTCTCGTATAGTATCATCAAGAAGCAGAAAAAGGATGGAGTTTGGATCAACAGAGAAACATATCTTCTTCATGATATCTCTGGCCAGGCAATAAAAGGTGAAATTATGGCTATCATGGGACCTAGTGGTGCTGGCAAATCCACCTTTCTTGATGCCTTGGCGGGGCGGATTGCGAAAGGGAGTCTGGAAGGATCAGTTAGAATTGATGGAAAACCAGTAAAAATGAACTTCTCTTGTTTCATTTTGTTTTTTGGGATCCAAAAAGGGGAGATATTTTACTCTTTTCAATTCCCTTTAATTTAATAATGCTATATCATCATGATGCAGGTTACTACAAGCTACATGAAAATGGTGTCATCATATGTGATGCAAGATGACCAGCTGTTCCCTATGCTGACAGTTTTTGAAACATTTATGTTTGCAGCTGAAGTTAGGCTTCCTCCTTCCATTTCCAGGAGTGAAAAGAAGAAAAGGGTATATGAGCTCCTTGATCAACTCGGCTTACAGGTATAATTCTTTGTCTCTCTCACTTACCTCCACAGTCCACACATAAAATGGCAGATTAATGACTTCATAACCGTTCAGAGTGCTACACATACCTACATTGGTGACGAAGGAAGGAGAGGAGTGTCAGGAGGGGAACGACGAAGGGTATCTATTGGCATAGACATCATTCATAAGCCATCACTTCTGTTTCTCGACGAACCTACCTCAGGCCTTGATTCTACAAGTGCGTACAGTGTTGTAGAGAAGGTTAAAGACATAGCTCGAGGTGGAAGCATTGTCCTTATGACCATACACCAGCCTTCCTTTAGAATTCAAATGCTCCTGGACAAGATCACCGTCCTTGCAAGGTGAATAATTCAGAGCCAATATATTCTGTAGTTGATAAACCTGATATAATGTTTATCTGACTGTAAAGAGCCTAAAATGAGGAGAAATATAAAGCTTCACTATATAGACAATATGAAACTGATAGGTACTGATAGTTGGACCAAAAAATATATTGAGCACATTTATGACAAGGTAATAAGTTGAAACTATGTGAGAAACTTATAAGTCACAATTCTGGGGCTTTTGTTTTGCTGCTAAGATTGCAAGTCGAATCGATCTCAGCTTGATATCAAAACAACAAAAACAAAGGACTCTATCTGTTACTTATAGGGATGTTTGGATGAACTAGAATAATCTATTCATAACGTGCACTTGGGTTTAACGAGGGGATGGGATTGTAGGCTCAATTTATTTGTAAACTGAAAATAAATTTATCATGACCAAATCTGCTACTGTATTTAATTGTGTTATAGGGGAAGACTAATATATATGGGAAGACCAGATGCAGTTCAGGCTTACATGTCTGCATTTGGAAGGCCTATACCTGATGGAGAAAACTGTCTTGAGTATCTGCTAGATGTTATAAGTGAATATGATCAAGCAACGGTTGGGCTTGAGCCTCTTGTCCAATTTCAACGTGATGGCCTCAAACCTCATCCAGCAGCAATGACGCCTGTTCCAAAAACTCCAAGAACACCTTTCAGAAGGAACACCACTGCATCTAAACACATGATTAGCCTACGCAGCCAAGGATTTACTGCTGGAACACAACAACCTGATTCTGCACAGTTTAGTTATCGTGACGAGGACGACGATGATGATGAGAATTTTGATAACTCCCTTGAAAGGAAAAGTGTTCATCAAACACCAAGGAATTTGGTTAGTGGTGTTCACCCACGTTTGGCTTCTCAGTTCTACAAAGATTTTTCAGCCAAAGATTTCTCTGTCTGGCTTTACCATGGTGTAGTAGGAACCCCGCGTCGCCAACCATCATGGACTCCAGCAAGAACTCCAGGATGGACACCTGGGAAAACCCCCATGTCAGGACCAAGAAATGCGTTTTCCAACCAATATTCTGCAGCTTCTCGGGATCCTTATCGCACCAAAACTCCTGCAGTGGTTGGCCAGTCTGTGGACTACTCAGCAACTTCATATGAATCTTCATATGAAGGATTTGAGATTGAGGAAGTGCTTGATGAGCCAAACTTAGGATCCAAGTATGCAAATCCATGGTTGCGTGAGGTTGCAGTGCTCTCATGGCGAACAGCACTCAATGTAATTCGCACCCCAGAACTCTTCCTCTCCCGTGAGATTGTGTTGACTGTTATGGCTCTTATCCTGTCCACCATTTTTGGAAATCTGAGTGATACTACTTTCAAAGACATCAATAGGCTCCTCAATTTCTACATATTTGCAGTGTGCCTTGTTTTCTTCTCTTCCAATGATGCAGTCCCATCTTTTATCATGGAAAGGTTCATATTCATCAGGGAGACTTCCCATAATGCTTACCGTGCATCTTCATATGTCATTTCTTCCCTCATTGTCTACCTACCATTTTTCGCCGTTCAAGGCCTCACATTTGCTGCCATAACCAAACTGATGCTCCACTTGAATAGCAATCTCCTAATGTTCTGGCTAATACTTTATGCATCGCTTATCACTACCAATGCATATGTGATGCTTGTTAGTGCACTTGTGCCTAGTTACATCACAGGGTATGCTGTAGTCATAGCCACAACAGCACTCTTCTTTTTGACATGTGGTTTCTTCCTCAAGCAAAGTCAAATACCCATTTACTGGAGGTGGCTCCACTATATTTCTGCAATCAAATATCCGTTTGAGGCATTGCTGACAAATGAGTTCAAGAACCGCGACTGCTACACTGGAAACAACAGAGAATTATCCCCTGGACCATTAGGAGACTTGAAGCTCAGCAAATTTCATAACACCAGCCTGCCCGGCAACTGCTTATTGGGGGAAGATGTCTTGTCCACTATGAATATTACAATGGAAAACATATGGTATGACATCTTAATCCTGCTAGCTTGGGGTGTTCTTTACAGGTTGTGCTTCTATTTGGTTTTGAGATTTTACTCCAAGAATGAAAGAAAATGAATCATTTACCACCCCTTTTTCTTTGGATGACCTTTTAGTTTATAGTCCCGGCCTGCTAAAAAGCTGAAGGTCACAACAATCATGTTATTTCTTGTATCATTGCTATGCTAGTTTTCTGCTTTTCTGTCCCTTACGAGCGTATGGCAATGCTTATGTTTATGAAATTACCAGTTTTGCTCTTTAAAGAAGAAAAAAGACATCACAAGGGAACGTGCTATAACGGGGAGGTGGATATAACACCAGCACTTAAAAGCATACGAAAAGTGATGTTAAAATAGTGTCCTACAAAATACCATTAGTTTGCATCTAGTCATATACAACAGTGAAGCTTCGCGGTTGCCTGACATCAAATGATAAAAATAAATAAAAAGGAAAAAAAGAAAGAGTGAAAGCAACCCACCTACAGCTTTCCAAAAAAGCCCTATGTTGTACTACCGTCCCCCCATTACAATCATCACAAACCTAAAATCAACTTGAAAATTTGAAATTTAATCTGTTTGATACAAGTTTAGAAGCATTTTTGAAAATTTCCCTAC